GATAGATAGATAGATAGATAGATAGATAGATAGATAGATAGATAGATGTGAACAGTGCCTGAGGAATGAAATTCTAGGTTGGCCTCTGGCCTATATGAGGACCGGGTACCAGCACACACAGTTGCACCCCTCTCCCCCACAAAGATTCTATAAGGCAGGTTGACTGGAAGAGAGTTGGAATGCCAGCAGAGCCAAACTACCTTGGCTATCTTTAGCGTTATCACTAGCTTTTCATTCTTTCATCCATGTCTGACCTCACGCCCTTGTGACGACCATCTGAAACCCTCTGGAATGTGCTAACAGCAGAGCACTGGCTTCCAACAAGCCCAGTGCTACAGATGTCACCAGATAGCACCTGTGACCCTACAGCAGACTCTCTCCACTTTGCTGTCATCTGCCTACCTGATGTTCCAACTGATGAGTTTGAAAAAAAAAAAAAAAAGCCTGGATTTATGACTTTATTTTGTCCTGTAACTACAAAAATTCATGAAACCCATTTCCACGTTGGAGCATATTTTTTTGTGGTAGCCCAACTCTGTGTTCCTGGGTTGTGGTCACTCGTATTTCTTTCAAGAATTAACAGTCTCATATGCCCTGTGAGGTGAGAGCCCTGCTTTGTAGCAACATAAGAATGTAAACATATTCTAAATGGACTTAAATGCCACTTAAAGAAAGTGATTGTGGATTCTCCTCCAAGATCCATGACCTCACTGGCCCTGAGGAGCGGGCTAGGTTTCTAGTACCAGACATGATTTCCTTCCAGTTAAGTGGGTCTTATGTCCAAGTAGAGAGCTGTTATCACCATGGTGTGTGTGCCAATACTGCGCCATTATGGTGTTCCTACCATACTAGTTGTTGCTGTGGTTCTTACGTGTCATAGCTGGAAGTGTAACCAACATGAGTGCCTAAACATGAACTGAAAAGGAGCAACAGCAATAGACCTGAACAGGGGAAAGCAAAGAGGCCTCAGTCCTACACGAAGAATTACAGGCAACTAAAGAATGCTGAAAGAGGGAGAAATAGGCCTTCCCAGGGAAGAGCACACCAACTGGTTATCCAATATCAAAGGGTCAGCCCCGAAAACATATGTGTGAGTAACATTATCCAAACTGAGCAAATCACCTCTAGGAACATATGTGTGTATACATACATGCAGTTGACAACAATTAATAAAATGGGGGACATAAATTTGAAAGGAAGCCAGGAGGGATATATGGGAAGCTTTGGAGGGAGGAAAGCAAATGGAGAAATGATGTAACTATATTATAATTAAAAAAAAAAAAATGTCGGGAGCCGTGACTCCAAGCGGCCTGCTTTGATATTTAAATCTCGGTGGAGAGAAGGCTTCTAGCAGGCCTTTACTAAGGGCAGAGAACTTGCAAGTCCATCTCCTTTTGTTTGTGACAGCAGGTGGGATAGCTTGTGAGGGCCACACCTCTTCCTCAGGCTCCTTGTGCAAATTAACCTATTGTTCTGAGATGTTTTACTGGCTAAAAGTAACTCCTCAAAAATACAGTAGTCAGAAGGCTGGAGGCAGAGGAGGAGGCAGAGACTTGAGACTTGCTGCCGGCACTGCTTGCTGCAGCAGCCTGCCTTTTGCCATGGCTGTCGAGTCTGGACCTTTAAAAAGTTTCCTGTGTGCTGTGTGTTTATTTTATTAATTTTAATCCTCACTCCCAACTCAAGAACTGTTCGACTCTGCCCGGCTGGCTCCGGCAAAAAAATAAAGGAAAAAAAGAGAGACTTAACATTTAAGGGATGGAGTTAAAAATAACATTTGGGAACTTACTGTGTGCCTACACTTGATCTCTGCTGAAAGCTAATGTAGGAGCACATAAAACTGACT